ACTGAAAACACTAAAAAAAAAAAAAATCACATTTAACAGCAATCTCATTTTTAATGCAACTTACACAAATACATTTATTGGGGCACATGGATCGACCTTCTGACCCTAGACTAAGATTCAGATATTATCACATTTCTAAGCACATTGAAGTTAAGAGCCATCGGTTTACTCCATGGTTTTAATTCAAGAATCACCTCAGTTTTCAAAAAAGCATATATAAATTTCCTAAGTAAGTACACAATGTAATTAAAAGCTAAACAAGAGCATCATTAAGACAAATATGCATCAAAAAATGCAACTATGTCTTCGAGTGCTTTAAGCTATTCAAGAGCCGTGTAAAGAGTGTCCTAACTCATCCAATAAAATAGATTACTGGTCCTGAATCATGTATCATTTATATTATACTTTGGATATTTTTTGCATTTTTTTGATGTTGTGAAGTGCTTGAGTTATGTCTTTCTGCTGTGAAAAGCAACTCATTATAAAATGATCCAGGAAGATAACAGGATAATGTATGCATTTCCAAATAGGAAATCTTTATTTCTTCTTTATTCAGCTTGAGGGTAGAGATCCCAAAGCTTGTTCTCAAATGATCTTCATCTAGGTCAGTTGGCCTAATAACAGCAGTTTGTTATTCATTACTCAATTTTAATTAATCTTCTTTAATGAAAATCACTATTAAACTGCTCTAAAATTTTATTTTTCATTGAGAATTGAGTTAACCTTATCTGAAATGAACAGAAACAGGTACTAAATTAGTTCTTCAGCATTTTCTGAGAGCAAACATTTTGAGATGGGACGGATACTATATGGTGTGGAATATACCTTCGGGAATTCCCTTTGGAGAGCTTGAATCAACTGTCCTGGCTATGTCTGCTCCCAAACTCTTGCACACCACTTTCTTAATCCCTTTGGGGATAGAGTGAAAAAATAGAAAGCTTTGAGGATGTGCAAGCTTTGTTCATTAGTAGATAAAGCATTGCTGTATTATCAACAATAACAAGTTACGGGTTTATCCACAAATCCAAAACTTTGAACCATAAGGGCTCCTACAAAGAATGTTAACTGCATCCCAGCCAGACCTCTTACAATCATGAAAAGAAATACTGAAAGGTTTTTATACATATACAGAGACATGTACTTAATTATGTTTGTGTCCAACAGTTTCCTAAACAACAGACATTCCTCATCCCTCAAGCACAGCTACTTTCATTATTATCTTAGTGCCCTAATGTTTTTGCTCCTACAGTAGCACAGAAGTCACCCAGCCATGTGAGTATAAAAATCTACCTGCACTGTTAGAGAGCAAACTGACCAAAGGCCAGTTTGATGCAATTTTTAAATAGAAAAAAATTATAAATAGGCCACCCTTAATACGTCGGGATGTTTGACTGTTGATGTGTACTGATATCTTTTATCTTTATTTACTTAACTATTTCAGAATAAAGACATGGCTTGGTTTTATTTACTGTTTCGCTCCTGCAGCAGTAATTGCATGCTTTCACATGGTTTTCACTTAGATTCATTGACAAAATACAAGGTGATTCTAAGAAGAAGATTCATCTAGACACTCATTGATTTTGCCATAATTTAAAGTAATGTTTCATCTTCCTGGGATTTTACTTACATATCTCAGTTGACAATGCTTTCTCATAAACACAGACAAAAGTACCCAGAACAGTTTTATGATAGTCTGCTACGTTGCTATTGCTCTTTCAGAATGATGCTCCTATTTTGGAGGCACTTAGGGGCAAAGTGAGTGTTCTGTGAAGGCTGATTTAATCTTCTGTGCTGCCTTAACAGGCCACTACCTGGGCTGCTCTGACTATCATTTAGAAATCTTTCATATACCCTCTCCAGTCTTTAGGGTTTAGGAATACTTACTTGATAGTAACATTTTTTCAGCTTTGGCTGTTGGGGATGAAACTTAGAGTTTCCACACTGCATATGTGCTAATAAATTGGCATTGTAGAATTTGTGATCATTTTCATAATGGAGAGGAAGTGTTTTCTTTGTTTTTCAGCTGTTAGGAGTAAGAACTGTGTAACTCTTTGTGCCTCCATAAGTCTTTTCCTCTGCAGAGGATACAGTACCTGGAAAGGAAGAAATATTTTGAAGTCCTTAAAATTAATACAAAGTATTTTTCTACAATTAAACAATCTAGTATGTTTTAATAAATCCCAAACCATTTATTACCATTGCAATGGCTGATTTTTAGCAGTCTTATCCCTGGGACAACAATATCACACTTACAATAGGTAAATCTTAGGTGTTTCTACTCTAGCAAAACAAAGCCATTTATTATATTTACAGATAAGTATACCTACATTTCTTTGTGCTGATTTTGCAGCAGATGAGATATGTCCTAAAATTACACTAGAATACTAGATATTATGCTAGTATCCTAGAAGCACGTGGGTGCAGTGATAATAAATATATTTAAATAAACATATACCTATGTAATACCTATGTAATATAGGTGTTTCAATACTCAGCAATTCAATTGTTCATATATCTCATTTCTTTTTTTTATAGTGTGCATACATACGACATGCACTTTGCAACACACATGGATAGACATGAACCAAATGTTTCAGGAATACCTGAAATACTTTAACATCTGCATTTTCTGCTACTCAGGTTCAAGAAGTATTAATGAAGCAATGCTCAACATATGTTCACTCTCAAGCCTCTCTGTGGTGTGCCAAACTGAGTGCCCAAACCAGTCATGTTGGGGTTTGACAGTGTCACAGGACTGAGCCTCATCCGTGCTTACATCGTGTGTGTGCAACATCACTGAGGTGTTGCACTGGTGAGTCAGGGACACTGGTGACTAGGGGTCAGACATCTCCACTTTTCAATCTGTCCCTGCCAACCTTCATCCAGGGCCTTTGTAAAGGAGAATTACAAGGTTTGTTTCAGTTGATTGCCTCCATTTATGTCTTGCACTCCAAAACTGAGATGTTAAATTTTTTATTTTCCAACCTAATTTTCCATCGTCTCTAAAGGTGGCTTCTTTAGCCTTCCTCCACTGATAACAAAATGACTGCCATTAAATTCACTGTCTCCTCTCCTGCTGTCCTTCACACTCAATTGATCTGGACCTGAATGGGTGCTAAAAACATAGGGAAACTATTAAAATTTTCTTTTCCAGGCACCACAAGAAAACGAAGTACAGTAGTTTCAACTATTAATTTGGCAACACAGACAAATTTACCTTAAATTGGAAGTAGATTTTTTCTCTCCTAAAGGGAAAAAATCTTTGCTTATTTCTTTGCATATATTTAAATATCAATGTTGCACAAACATGTTTCAGATTAAAAACTACTGAAGTGCAAGAACTAAAGGAAAGTTCAATAGTAATGTAAGTGCAGCACAAACTTCTGCATAATACTTAGCTATAGTATAACCTACATATTTACACCATGAACAAATCTGGTTTTCTTTCTTTAAGATAAAGAATCTGAAGGACATAGGAATCAGTCATTTGGGCACTGGGTAGCCCAGTCTCTGGAGATCTTCTCAGTCAGAAACATTCAAGTCAAGCATCAGGGAGAGGAGCAACACGTCTTCCATGGAAAAAGCAAAAAATCTGCAGAGAAGCTTTAGCCTACTCTGATTCAGAGAGGACTTTTGTGCTTGTACACAATGGCCATTGGGACTGAAGACATTGGTTACAGCTAGAAAGAGGCAGAAACTTCGTTTCATGAAGTGATACCAAAGGGAGATGTGCAGCCCCTCCACATTTGTCTGGCTGTATCTGAGTTTGTGTTATTTTATGCAGTAGTGCACTTAGTGGGAAGCAATTACTCTGCTCCATTTGTTGGCCTCTGGTCCTAGCAACAGTGGCAAAATTATCTTTGAACAAGGTCTTTTTATAGGAATCATGAATATTTCTTTAACCTATAATCTCTGTACAGAAAAATCTCCCATCTGTGAATGATTTGATTTACCAATATGTCTTTTTTACTTGACAAAGGCAGGAGGTTCCTTTTAGCCCACCCGGGCTGACAGCTACTGTAGCATTTCAAGATATGCTTTTGACAACAATGTTTTAGCAATTAAGGGCCAACAGTGCATGACTTATCTCTTAGTCTTACTTTTTCATAATCAAGCCTGCAGTGGCAATGTTTTCTGTTAGCTTTTTGGGGACTTGTTTCTCCTTGGGATCACACTTGCTCTTGGCTTCATAGCCCTGCAGGCTGACTGACATGGGTGCATGGTCATCCTGTTATTTTCTTGTGTGTGCTGTACACAGCCATTTCCAAACAAAGCACAGCGTGCTAACGAAGGACATCTGCAGTTTATAAAAAAACATTTTCTGAGGCAAGATCAATGCTACACCCGTGAAGTGACAGGCAGGTTAGAGCAGTCACTGTAGATATGTCCCCTGGGGCATCAAGCATTGATCTGATGTGGATCACACACTCTACAGCTTAATCATAGAATCATAGAATAGTATGGGTCAGAAGGGACCTTTAAATGTCATCTAGTGACATCCCCCTGCAATGATAAGGGACATCTTTCAGTAAATCAGGTTGCTCAGAGACCCATCCAACCTGACCTGGAATGTTTACAGGAATGGGGCATCCACCACCTCTTTGGGTTACCCATGCCAATGTTTCACCACCCTAAATGTAAAAAATGTCTTCCTTATATCTAGTCTGAATCAACACTCTTTTAGTTTAAAACCCTTTCCCTTTATCCTATCACTTATCCCTTGTAAAAAGTCCCTCTATGGCTCTCTTGTAGCCGTCTTCAGGTACTGGGAAGCTATAAGTCTACCCCAGATCTTTCTCTTCTGCAGGCTGAGCAGCCTCAACTCTCTCAGCCTGCCTTCATAGGGGAGGGTGGTCCAGCCTGCTCCTCATCCTCGTGGCCCTCCTATGAATTGCCCAACAGGTCCATGTCTTCCCAGTGCCGAGTGGGGTGCCCGGGCGGGATCTGCCCCTCAGAGCGGTCAGAGCCCTGGAGAAGACAAGACCCGGCGCGTCCCCCGGCGGGTGGGGCGGAAGCTGCCAACAGACGCCCCGCGTTCCCCTCTTCTCAGGCTGTTGTCCCGCTTGTCCCAGCATGAACAGACAAAGGACTCGTTTCTAGGACGAATCAGCTCCTGAAGGTGCACAGAATTCCCCATTTGAACTACAGAGGGAGCCCGGGGCTCTGCTTTGGAGAGCAGGAGAGCCGCGGGCTCGGCCGCGTCCAGGCGCGGCCTCAGGGAGCTTTCCTCTCCTCCTGCCAGAGAGCGGGCAACCCCCGCGGGCAGGCCCTGCCGCGGGGCACAGAGAGCTGGGGGCGTCAGCGGTGTGCACCGCGGATCTAGCTGCCCTCTCGAGTCCCGCTCGCATTCTGCACACTGCACATTCGCCAGCTCTAATCATTAAAATGTTTTTTGCGTGGTTTGCGAGCAAACGAAACCGCGGGGGGGCTGCTTCAGGCTCCCAGAACGTAACACAGTGAGCGGTGAGATGGCTGGTCTTAATAGAAGCATAAACTTCTGCAATACGGTGGAAACTTCTGCTCCTTTGTTTTCCCTGTGAGGTAAACAATTTCTGTCTGATTTTATCCCTGGTGCGGATTCCTGTAAAGCCTGAATACGATTTGCATTGCTCATCTGTCTGCACATTTTGTAGCGTTTATGGCAGTATGTTATCACGTGCAATACCGTCAAGATTTAAACACCAGGAACGGAAACCATACAAAGAAAGAGATATGTGTGAGAAATAAATATGAGGGATAGAGTTTGTGGAGCTTTGTTTTAATTTTATAATCATTCCTTGAAACAGAACCAGGGTTAATAATCTAAACCAAAAGCATACAAATGAGGTATGTCTCAATGTCATATTATCTCATATTCTTATTAAAATCTTCAATATTACATTCTTTTGTGATTAGGACCAGAGGGTTCAGTCTGCTAAAAAAGAAAGATATCAGTAAAAGTACTCATCTCCTTAATAAAGTGTATTCCAAAAAGATAATTCAGGTTCACACAGAGCTAAATATGCCTTATATTCAGTACCGTCATGGCAAGTTAAAATATAGTTGAGATTAATAAAGCACAGCAGAGTAGGAACAAATCATCTTTATCAATTCAAAGCCATCTTTTTTTAACTTGGTGGAAATTAAGGAAGAATCATAATTAATTGGTATCTGGACCAGATGCAGAAGACGATTTCTTGAATTACATCACTTCCATCTTATCTCTAATCTTTTTAAGCCTTTTTTACCCAAAGGGCCTTTTCAGACATGCTAAACTGGCAGTATTATAAGGCTGCAGCAGGACAGTATTGCTATTCCAGTGATTTATAACCAAATACTTTACTTATTAGCAAAGGCTAATACTGGATCCATCAGTCCAGACGCAAGTAAATTAGCCATTAACTTTCTGACACCTAGCATAAAACAACCAGTTAAGTCTAGCCATCCAAGCAATTAATTTAGGTTCTCTTTGTGGACACCATGGGGATTTTAAAGTGGGCTGAAACTACCTGTGTATCTCTGTTGACTAATTTATATTAAATGCCCATTATTTAGACTATTGAAGCTAGGGAAAAATTAACTTTCCTCTCTTAGCTCTAGTAGGACCCATGTTCACACAGGTATGTAAGTGTCTGCTCCTAGAGGTTTCAGTGGAAGATACTTCAAGGTCTATGCCTAGGTGGCTTCTACATAACACTTTTGACCTTTAGATTATAAATTATTTCACAGAGGAAAACATCAACTTTGTTACTAAATTTTATATTGGGAAACTAAGGTACAGGTTAAAATTAATTATGTAATATCCTGTGAATACTGGATTGAAGATTCCTGTGAGGGAAATTATTTGGTCACTCTCCTTTCCAAAACTCAAGAGCATCCAGGGGAACTGGTATACAAGAGATTCAAAACAAAATGTGAGTGGGAGCTGCACCCTGGCAAGTGAATCACTGCCAGGGTGCAGCCAGGACTGCCTCACAGAAGGAGGGAAGCTGAAAGTGGAGGGTAATAGCAAGACAGGCAGAGGCAGTGCCCTCACTGGGAGGAAGACAGTCCCTTCCCTTGGTACCCAAGCAGAGTGGCTCTGGGGAAGCCAGGGTCCTCTCAGAGCCCAGTGACTACCAGACAGGCTTGCAGAGATTAAGCAAATCTGAGGATATTCAAGGCAGCAAACCAGGGCCAGTGAAGAAGTTCTGATGATGCGCGGACAAATATTCCTTTGCACCATACATAAGTAAACTGTGGACCTGTCCCTGTCACTTCATAGTACAGATGCTAAAAGTTGAGCGAGCTGAAAAAACTAACAGGCAAAATTCATGAGGTAAAAAAACCTATCAAGAGCTGTTAAATTCAGCACTCCCATCTTCAGTGAAGAAAGTCTTGGTACTTTGACTTATTGGAGCCTTATTGGAGTGGATTAATTCAGGAATATCAGTTCCACATTCATCCCAATCCTAACCTTCCCTAAACTCCTGCCACCAGAGCACCATTGAATAACACTGCCAGCTTGGCCAGGCAGGCAGAACTGTGGCACAGTACTCCAGGTGTATGCTCTTGGCACAGCTCACAGGTGGCTACCAACACCTCCTCCCTCGTGGCTGGCAGCTCATGAGCCATTGTAACTCAACTCCTTCTTTGTTGTATGGAGAAATGCTTCAGTTATACCTCCTCTACAAACAGGCTTCATATTCTGTGTTTGAAGGATTTAGGTTTATTCTAATTACTGGGTTTTTTTCCTTGTGTTTAAGGCTGTTTTGTCTGCCTGGGGTGATGACAGCCAAACTGAAATGTTGATATATCTATATTAAGAAAATGGATGTATCTCCTTTTTTACCAATTAATTAAACCGATTATTTTTATCGTTATGCTCCCACAATACTACTTGCCTATGAAAATGCATATAAACTTACCATGATTTTAGTCTTTATGCTTTTATTTGGTTTATGCTCTTTTTTTGTTTGTTTTTTGAGGAGGAACACAACAGAGTTCTTTTAGCCCTTCCCAGTTCCTTCCAAATCCATTTGCCAGATACGTCTACATCTGAAAGTCAAGAAGAAATCCAGAAACATTGCATTTTTACTATAAATATGGACTGAAAGGACAGTTTGGAAACAGGGGAAAGGCTGCAGTGCCAATCACTTCACTGCTTTTCTGGTGGCTCCCTATTCTTCTGGATTTTTGCCATTTAGAAAGAGTGATCAGGTTGGATTTTTTCATAGCTTGGCTGATTAAAGGAGATTATGTTTTTGTAAAGAGAAATTCTAGAAACTGTAAACAGATATTCTGCTCCACTTTCCACCCAACAATTTTAAAAAAGGTCAAAGCTGTCTTCATCAAGAGAGGCATTGTTTACAGAAATATAGATTTAATTGTTTTATGTATAGTTTCTTTTTGAAATCAGAGGAAGAGATCTTAAAAGATACTCTTAAATACTCTCATCTATTTTGCTGCCAAGGCAAATTTACTTCTACCACATATTTGCTAGTGCAGTACTCAAATAACAGTGCTTGGAGCTGCTTCTGTCACAACCATGAAGCATCACTCCCTCTTTCAGCAATGGCACCTTCTGCTCCCTATAGCCTAGAACAAGATTCTTCCAGGGTTCCCAGTAGATAGTTCAACCAAGTAAATTCAAAATAACAAGTATTTGTCTGCAATCCACACAGATGCTTCTTGTCTTTTTTTGTTCATTTTATTTCTCTTTTTTGGTATAGCTCCAGTCAGGATCAAAACTGGGGATTACCACAAATTGTGCAGGACTGGACTTTAGGAGGTCCTCAAAAGACTACATCTAAGAGTGCTGCAGGTCACAGGAGAAAATGCATTGATAATAAAATCCTTCAGCTGGGAAGAGATCAAATACAACATGGATCACCAAACTACTTCAGTGCTATCCCAAAATTACTTTTGCATGTAGCAATGGCAGCATGAATATTTAGGAAGAAAACCTGGAGGAGGTGCATGTTTCATCAATAAACTTATTAAGTTAATAATTTTTATACTCACAAGAAACTGGTATTTGTTGCCTGTGTGTCTTTGAATGCTTGTTGGTTTATTTAAAAATGTTTGCAAGTCCTGAACTTCACATTATTCTTGTTTCTCATTATCAGTTAATTGCCATCATTAATCATTGTTTTCTTGATTAAAAAGTAACAGTCAGTTCAATACCATGTGATATGGATGACTAATCACAACTCAGGAGTAATAAAGAGTTGAAATAAGTGTTCACGAACAAGTTGTCATCTGTAATTTGTCCTCATAAGCTAGTTGGCAAATACTTATGTGCAATGAATACTTCTATACAAATTAAGATGATCTTGAATATGATTTATAAACAGGGGAAAATAGTTGAATTAGTCTCATATTTCATTTGCAATAAATAATTTGGACAAATACAGTTATCAGAGGGGGGAGCAGAAGGCCTTTATGGAAATTATCTACAATGCAAAGGAGTTGAAAATCACTTTTTTTATTGCCTTATGCTATCAAATTTTTAAAGTGCCAGGTGCTGACAGAATTTAGCAGTGCTGTTCCATAACCCTAATAGTACTCTCTCTTCAGAAAGTTTTGATAGAGTTTTCTTTTCTCTCTTAATTATTTAATTGCTCTTTTTGCCACTTGATCTTTCTCTTGTAGTCATACGGTGATAGATGGACTCCATGCAGATGCACTGCCTATTGCTTCAGCATACTTGGTTCCATCAGTATTAAATACTCTTTGAGCAGGAATTAGTTATCTATATTAAGGCATCGTCTGTGACAATCTGAGATTCTTAGATTGTTACAGCAAATGAGACAGCCTGTGGAGAGCCCATTGCCAGTTGGAGAGGGGCTGAAGACCAGCCACAATACCTTGGGCTTCTCGAGTGGTAGTAGAAACCAGCACAGGGGCAGTTGATTGGAAGAAGAAACCTTCATTGCCTGTCATGAATCTCAGGAAACCTCACCTGCATGCGAAGGACATACTTACAGACCTAATCTTAAATGGCCTAATCTGGATTAGTAGCCAGCCTCCAGAATAAGGTGACGTGAAACTCACTCAGACAGACTCTTACCTCCATGCCATAGTCTTGCATTTTTATGTGCCACCAAAAAAGCATTCTATCTCTGTATTTTCAAGTATTTTGAAAATAATGTGATTTTTTTGCATTCATTTGCACCAAAGTTCAAGCATCTAAATTCATTGGTTACACAGGTTTTATACTTTTCCCCAAACGGATCAGTCTTTTTTCATGTTTTCTTTTTCTTGCGTATATGCCAGCATTCTGAGAGTCTTTTTTTTTCCTCTATCCACATGCAGACCGAGCCCATTCCCCTTCCCATCCTGGTATAAAAAGGTACTATGGAAACAAGCTGTTTATGTAGTCTCTTAGAAAACTAATAAAGCTATTAGCTAAGAACATGGGTAATGATGTACCACATGATACACGGCGCACATCTCTGAATTAGAAAAGGACTCCCCAAAAGCTTCCACAACATAATTGGGCAAAAGAAAGAACTTTTGCTTGTCAGGATCCTTACAACAGCAAGTCAAGAACTCACCTGAGTATTTTGCTTTTAAAAAAGAGAGTGATCTAATCCAGCTAACTTGGATGCCTTACTTGTACTCATATTTAAATTGCCAGGTAAAGCAGTTTTTCTGTAAGCTTTTATATTTACTAGAGAGAAGTAGATGCCAGTTAAGACCTGTTGAGGAAGAAAACTGCTTTCCCAAGAGCAGGCAGCTTGGTTTGCTGAAACTGTTCTAACCCCAAAAACTTTGTGGTCATCTACCTCTGCCATATGAGTATCCAGCACTCTTCAGAAAACTACAGAAGCATGAATGGGGTAATGACCTAAAGAGTCCCTGTCAATCAGAGCCTGAAACAAGCAAGCTGTGTCCCACCTTCCAGATATGTTCAGTAATGTTTATTCTTGTATATACTATCTAGGTAGCTAGTGATAAATTTCTCTTAAGACACTGGTTCTATTTTTTTCACCATGGAAGCAGCAGATAGATTCTGACAGCAGTAGTTACCAGGTTTGTGATGTTTTTTTCCTTTTGAGCACAAGCCCATTTGCTTTGATACATTTACCATTGTAGAAGTGAAAAAGTGATGTGATATCTTGACATTCAGGCATTTAAAAAAAACATCATTCCTCTGACATGTTCTGTTCTATAAAGTTGAAATTATTATCACAAAAAAAATTTCATTTTCCAATATGAGCTTCAAGAGAAGAAAAGTATGTGAGTGTGGGCACAAGTGAGAACCTGTGAGTGTGTATGTGTAATTTTTCTAGTTAGAGATATCCTGTTCAAAGCCACCTCCAGCACAGTGATTAGTAATACTATCCAAAGTATAAATCAAGAGATACAAATAGAAAGAAAACATCTTGGCCTCTTTGAATAGCTGCTACAGCAGATCTTTTTGTCGGCCTACAAATTACTCTAGTGTTTCTAAGGGAGTGAAATACATCATCTTTTAATATTAGCTATTATTGCTACATCCCTGAAGGGATAGAGTAGTGTGTTTCTATTTCAATTACTCAAACTACTTTACTGGATATGGATTGAGCAGATTTGACCCTATAAGAACAAATGCTGTTATTACATTTAATGATTAAAATCCTGCTTGTACTCAGCTAAAATATAAATCAGCAGTTTGGAAGAACAGGCTTCAAGCTAAATAAAATTGCTTTGAGACACCAAATAATTCAGAGAATTACCAATGGGCTATTCAGGCTTTCACTTCTATAGCAGGTCACTAATTGGATTTAGACCAGTTTCATAGTGGTGATGTGAATTTGGAACCAAAATTATTATGTCTGCTGTGCAGCTTTCAGTGCCTAGTAATCTCCATCAAATTCCTAAAAAGTAACTATATCAGGATGTGCATGACAGAAAATTACTCACCCAGCCATATTAGGTAGATATGTCATATTTTGGAGTTGCCTATTTGTCTCCATTAAACAGAGGAAGTATCAAGATTACTAGCCCAGAGTTAGACTATTTGTTTCTAGATACCTGAAGTTAGAGAAAGGTACAGAGTAGCTGGTCGATGAGGGAAATTTTGTCATATACAGAAGTTGGACAAAAGCTTTTTCCTGAATTTCTAGACCTCAAAAAACAGAAATTATTTTCATAATATGAAAAAAAAAAAAAAAGCCAAGAAGAAAAGCATATATATAAAACAAGAGAAATACTGATATCCTCCTTGTCTTACCATGAAACACTGGATACTAGTAGGATGCTAACAATTTCAGACATAGCCTTTGGTTTTCATTTTACTTTCAGGCTAAATTTCAAAAATCCACAGTGATTCAGGATGGAGATGAGGGCAGAATATGCCCCTTCAATACATGGAACACATTTACAGCAGGAGGTGGGTTGGTCCACAATACTAAGAATTTATTACTTCTTTATCTGTTCTATCAGCTGATATGTCCTACTTTCCTCCTTCAATTTAGTACAGACTCATGAGTCAGGAAGGGCCCTGCAGGACTATTTTATCCCAGGGGAATGCCAGGATCTCATATCATATCTTTTCAAGCTCCTTTTGATTCTAATTGCTTTGTGATTTCATGCAAAATTCTGCTCTAGTCTGTATTGTTCATCATATGAAGTTTTACTGAAACTAGCCAACTTGTTTTCTGTGGGGCTTGGTGGGTTTTGTACAGCTAGTGGTAGCTTTGCTTGAAAGCTTACATCTTGGATAGCCACACTGTGGTACTGGGGCAAAGGGGGTCACTGAGTAGTCTGAGCTCTCAGGGTGTGAAGGGGGCAAATATCCATTGGTACTTGGCTGGGAAACATTTGGTCATTATCTCATTTCTGAACTGAGTCTGCAACTTCTCCCTGCGAGTTGGTGTGTGAGAATTATTTCTGAGCTTCTAGACAGGGACAAAGCATTTGAATTGTTCTGAGGCCACATCTTTTCTCCAAAAAGATTCTAAATTCTAAATTCTTCTAAACAAGAATTCCAGAAGTCTCTGTTGTAAAGGTTGAAGAGGAAATCTCTTAGAATTCAGTTTGCTCTGCATTCACAGAGGTGTTTTCCAGTTGTCGTCCCTACCAAAGCAGTTTAAAGGAACAAAACCAAAAAAATATATTGCACAGTACAAGCAAACACACATGTATATTCTCAAAACTACCTGCATTGTAGGTAGACATTCACTGCTAATTGAAGAGGTCCAGCTATAGTCAGTATCCTATTCTAAATAAAAACAGCATGACAATGCAGCTCTGTAGAAACATGCCACACATTCCTCAGGACTTCTGACAGCAGGCAGCCAATTACTTTGAAAATAATGGGTTCTGTCTTATGACTGCAGCAGCAACACAAATGTATCTCCCTTGATCCCAACATCAAGGTAGAGCTTTGCATTTCCAATATTTGAATTCAATACAAAGCAAAGGTTTCAATGTTATTTGTTATTTTTTTTATGGTGAGTGGCAGCTTGTTGGCTTTTTCTGCAATCAGATGTAACAGCGGCAGGGTTAAAAGAGGCGTATAAATAATAAATGGTTTCTCTCACCTAAAGAGGGATCTGCCAATTCTTGCCCTCCTTTTAATTTGGGGAAGGGAATATAATTTAAAAGATGACATATTTTTTCCCATCAAGTCAAAGAAGAAGGAAGCCTCCAGAAGAACAATGGCTGATGCCATAGCATGACTATCTGACAGGCTTGAAAAGTGACTGTAAAGTTGCCAACACAAAAAGCCTTTTATCTTAGATGATAGTAATTGAAGCTTGTGAATTGCATCCAAGGAATAGGAGGAGATATATGATGTCCTCCCACCTCTTTTCTTACTGTTTTAATTATCATTATTTTTTTAAAAATAGATAAATATTCACAAAATAGACATCCCTCTTTTTTTTTAATTCCTCTAAATGAGTTACGGGAATATCATCACTACACTGCTGAACTTGGCTTTATTCCTAACATAAAAATACATGACTCTTTTCAAATTTCTTTGCCATTATGCCTATTTTCTGAGTAAATGGTAGCCCTAGATGCAAATAAATTTCTTTGGAAGTTTGCTCACAGGCCCATTCAGTTAATGGGGAAGCTTGCCCCATGTACTAATACAGCCGAGGTCTTCTTTCTATGAGTGGCCGTCACAGGGCTTTACTGAGCAGGCTGTAGCCTTCAGCACTCAAAGGGACACACCGAAGACCAAACTGCAGCCTGGATTTGTGTGTTACAGTGAGTGGATGTGGTTAATTAAAGGCTTTTCCCTGCTCCTGTGTG